TCCAATCAGCCCATTTTCAGGGAGCTCCCTGTGAGCTTTCCCTCTGGGCAACAGCAAGGCAGGAAAGGAGTCACCAGTGCCTGGAGCCAGGGCTGCTCTTACCTAAGACAAAGGCCCGGGGATGGGCTGCCAAAAATGAGTAAATCCAGCCCCACCCGCATGAWGAAAGCTTGGCTTTCTATGGGGAGGAAAGAGGAGCTGTGCCTTCAGCTGAAGGGGGGAGGAATGGCTCAGCAAAGAGACCAGCAAGGCCATGAAAATGTTGGGCTGGAGAATCTCATCCATGAGGAAAGGCTGAGAGAGCTGAGAGTGATGAGAAGGCTCAGAGGGACCTCAGAGCTGTAGAAAAGGGCAAGAAAGGCACAAACAAGCTCAGGAAGCTCCGTCTGGACATGAGGAAACTTTAATGTGAGAAGAAGAACGGCCTTGCACGGGTTTTCTGGAGAGGSTGTGGAGTCTCCATCCTCAGAGAAACCCCAAAGCTGCCTGGATTGGCCATGGGTGGACAAAGTGACCTGCAGAGGATCTTCCCAACCTTAACCAGGTGAGGTTCTGAGCCTTGTCCCCCTCCTCTGTCACTGTGACARGAACTCACCTCATGATGTCTCTGTYGAGGAACAATGGCTCTTCTTCCACAAGGCAGCAGTTCCTGGGCAGGACAGGCTGGAATCTGTGAGCTGAGCCTTAAATAGGGAAACACTCCTTGTGGGTGGAGRATGACTAACCCTAGTCTAGGGTTAATAACACTAGTCTAGGATGAACTGAAACTGAAAGATAAGGCCYGAAACAAAAAGGAAAGTGTCTTCTTATCTTGAAGTTGCCACCTTCCCTTCATAAAATGGCACTGAGGTCTGGATAGGCAAGAAAGGAGCCCTGTGGGCAGAGCAGCAGGGTCTGAACTCCCCCTGGACACTTTTYCCTGCTGAAAAGGATTTTGGGGTCACAGCTTTTGGGATGGAAYTGGTGAAAGATGAGAGAGGATCCCAGGTCAGAGAAATGAATGGTGACATCATCATTATCAGTGATTCTGCAGGACTTTGTCCCCAGGGTTTGGCTCTGGATCCACCCTGGAAGTTCWGCTGGAGTTTGTTTGGTTTGTCTGTAATAGAAACTGCCCAGCGAAACGGGGACAGTGACTGCATGGCACAGTTTTGGTGTTCCTGGGGTAAATCCCAGCTCTTTCCTCAAGATCAGGTGGTGCTGWCAGAGCAGAGGACACTGAGCTCGGGGTGGCCCCAGAGGTGTCACCAACTCCCCAGGAATCCACTGCTGACCATGGAGGTTTTGGCAGGTGACAGAAACCAGTGGGAGTGACAGAGAAAACAGAGGTAAAACACAGGACACGCTGCACACCCGGGTAGAAAACCCTGGGAGGAAAAATTCCAGCAGAGAGAGTAGTGGAAAAAAACACATTAAAAAATGTAGCCTCAAGTAGAGTCTCAACAGAGAAGGAAGAAACCACCAGCCTTAAACTCGTATTCCTCCCAGCAGAGAAGAGAAAACCTCTCCCAATTTCCCCTCAGGATGCTGATGAGTCACTGCAGCACGCAAAGGGAGGAGGGGAATTTACTGCTGGAGGAGCAGGGGAGATGCTTTTATCCTCTGTGTTTATTTTTTTTTCTATTGCTTTTATCCTCTGTGTTTATTTTTTTTTCTATTGCTGACAACCTTTAATAGAAAATGAGTAATTTGGCTATTAAGTGTTAGCACTGCTGGGTGAACAATGAGTGATTGCTCTGTCCTGATTAGGCTGAGCATTAATTAGACAACCAACAACGTCTAATTCTTGAATCCTCACATCCTTTCAGTGTCTTTCTGTGAATTTGGGCTGGACCAAGCTGCTCCTGTCCGGCACARGTGAGTTTGGTGCCGGATGTTTTGKCTCCCTGGGCTGGGGCAGAACTGGCAGGATGGAGGAAAAATTTCACTGCTCAATTCCCTGCAGCCTTGACAACAGTTCTTGGCTACTTCTGCTAATATTAGGGCTGCTTTGAGGATGATTACAGTTCTGTGCAACAGCTATTAATATCATACAAAGCTTGGATGGAAGTCAAAAATAACAGCAAATGAAAAAAAAAACTGCCCAGCAGCAGCCAAACAGGAAGTGCAGGCAAGGCTTGGTGTTGGGAAAGATAAATGATGGGAAGGAAAAGCAAAAAGAGCTGCAGTAAGACGCAGAGGGAAAAAAAAAATACAAATATTTTTGTTGGTGGTTTGAAAACAGYTCTTGGCTTCAAAACATTGTGTTCCATCAAATAACGCTGATCGAATTGGGAGCTGATTGAAAGGAAATCCTGGTTTATTTGCCCAGAAAAGCAGCTGTTTGTACAAAGCTGCTTTGGCTGACTCTGAAGCAGCAGAGTGAGCTGGACCTGAGCAGRAAGGACAGAACCTGGAAATGCTCTTGAGGAAGAGAAACCCCCAGGGTTGGGAACCTTCAAGGAGCTTTATTTGAGCAGCAAAGGCTGGAACTAAAAATAACTGAGGTGTGGCCGCAGAATTTCCCTGACAAAGTTCAAGTCCGGGGTGAGAATTCTTTCTCTGTTGGTTGTCAATAACTTTTTTTACTGCCACGGGAGCACAGGTGAAGTTTCCATGAGTAAGAAGACAGACAATAAAAGGGYATTTTCTGCTGAAGTCACGGTTTCTATTGCGCCTTTTCTGCTCCTCCCAGCTCTGCTGCTCCCAGCTCTGCAGGTCCAAACCTCTCTGGGGAAAAAAGGTGGCAAAAACAGAATTTAACCACTCTATTGGACTCACACAGAGGTGTTTAATTCACGGCTTTGGTGGACAAATCCCCGGCTAAAAGGCTGCGGTCTCTGCCTGCTCGGAAACTTGAGGAGCGAATCCTTGGCTGTGGAGGTGGCACAGATCACCCTGGAAGGTGGCACAGGTCACCCCTGGAGCCTGGGAGGGTCCAAGGCCAGGCTGGACAGGATTTGGGGAACTGCTCAGGTGGGATTTTGGGCAGTGGAACCACAGGAACCATGGCTGTGGGTAGAAATGGATGATTTTTTATGTCCCTTCCAACGCAAACCATCGTACCACCTCAGCATTCCTGATGAGACCACACCAGGTTCTGTTTCTCCTAGAAAAGGGTTTATAAATCCCAAATATTCCCATTTCCCGCTGCTGGCTGTTCCCAGGCGTTGCTGCAGCTCCAGCAGATGGCAGAATCTTCCCACGGATGGCACTGCCCGAATATTGCAGCGCCGTTCTCTCCCCAGCCTGCGGACACGAGCGACGCTTTTGTGCCACTTTCCAATTTCTGCCTCGCAGCTGGATGATTCTTTAACAATATTCCAAGCCCCGCCCCTTTATTTGGATGAAAATATCTATATTTGGTGGGTTTTTTTCCCCGGGTGAGGGAAAACAGAGCAGGAGCTGAGCGAGCGTTTTGCTGCCTGGGGAGGGAGCTCATCCTTCTCACAACTGAGCTGAGCGAGGCCCGAGTTAAGACTGGGCAGGATTGAAAATGAAAAAAAAAAAGGATTATTTTTAAATGGGACACATGCAGAAAATGTGAAAACGCCAAAATATTCGCCCTGCTTGTTTCCAAAACACTTGGAATGTGCAGCCTCTGTGCACACCCTGGATCTTCCTCACTTCCATCCCCTCTTTTCCCGGTTATCTGAGAATGGGAACTGGATCCCCTGACTATGGATAAAAGTGATAAAAGGTGGATAAAACCACCAGAATAAAGGTGATAAAAGGTGGATAAAACCATCAGATTTGCTGCCCTGGGGGATGTGGGAGCTCTGCTGAAGCTGATAGGGTTTGTGTTCCCCCCAAACTGAACAGGAGATGCTGACGAAACTCCCGAATTCTGCAGCGAGGGCCGGGCAGGGGCAGCTSCTCGAGCAGAAAATGGAGCTGCTGCGCATTTCAGAACCCGCTGGAGCTCCTTTCTCCTCCCCTGAACGAATCCTCTCCGCAGCAGGAGCTGTGTGTGTTCACAGCTCAGTGAGGTCGCTCCATCCCCGCGACAAAAACAATCCCAGGGAGAGCAGGCAGAGCAGAGCGAGGGGTTCAGGAACTGCCCCCAACCCCTCCTGTTCCTCACCATCCTCACCCACCGAGGGTGGGGCTGGAGGGGCAGGAGAACATCCCGAGATAGCAACGGCCTCCCCTGGRGCTGCAGGGACAGCAGCTTATCTCCCGCAGCAAAGCCGGGCTGCTATCAGCACCCAGAGACACTCAACTGCCTCCAAACCGCTCTGATGGGAGAT